AAAATTGGGCACGCATGTTTTGCAGCTGATGTTCTTGGGTATCACAGGCTTCATATTTCCATTCGCACATTTTATTACGGCCAATGTACAAGCATCAGAATTATAATGTCTATTTTGGAAAGCTATTCAACTTTTGAATACATATGGTTTTAAAGTTTTATACACATGCATGGATGGTACAGTTTGTAATCGTTCATTTATGCATCTTTGTGTTGGTGAAAATTCATATTTGAATTATAAATTTTTGTCACCTAATCCAACTTCATCACAGGATGTAATTTTCACAATGGATGTTTCTCATGTGTTAAAAAAAATCCGTAATAACATTATGAAAAGTGGTCTAACAGCAAAATCTACTAGACATTTAACTTTACCAGATGGTAATAATATTCAGTGGCAGATGTTCATGGACTGCTACAAATGGGACCAACAGAACAGTCTGCAGTTACATAGAAAACTGACAAATGAACATATATTTCCAGATACACAGCAAAAAATGAGAAACCACCTAGCAGAAGAAGTTTTAAATAATGAAATGTTGAATTTAATGAAACAATATAAGAATTCTCTTGGTGAAAAGGGTCAAATTCTTAATGGTGCTGTGCAGCTCCTGGAAAATACATCACATATTGTTTCAATTTTCCGTGACATGAGACCAATAACAACTTTAAATGATCCTAGGTTGAGTACACTGCACACAGTTAGTGAATGGTTTTTAGAATGGGAAAGATATGGGCATCAAAAGAAATCAAAGACTAAAAAATCAAATCTCAAAATGCTTATGTCACTAGAATGCCATGAAGACATTCAAGCTTGCATTCAGGGATTCATTCTATTGTGCAAATTTGTATTAAAAATGTCAACAACAATTCATGTTACACCAGGCTTAATAAACTCAGATGTGATTGAAAATGTGTTCAACCAGCAAAGGTCAACTTATAATGGAGCTAATACAAATCCAAATGCACTTCAATACAGGAAAACTATAAACAGCATCCTTGTGGGCCAAAATGTCATTTCCAGGAAATCAAATGCCGGAAAGCCTGATCTGAGCGCCGTGCCTTTCACAGTGGACATGAAACCCCTAGTCAGGAAACGAAAACCAGCTAGCAATAACAAGTGTTCTGACATCAAAGTTATCAGACTATAAGTCAAAAGAGGGGCATAATTATGCAAAAAAGCAAATCAGAGTTATGGGACTTATGCAAATCATATTAGATAATCACAGAGAACAAGTGTGTGAACTTTCAAACCATTCACTTCAGTAATTATGGAGATACCAGCTTACACGCAAAACTTAACCAAGAATTTCTAAGTCGAAAAAGGAGCATTATCATGTAGCAAAGCAAATCAGAGTTATGGGAATTGTGCCAATCATGTTAGATAATTACATAGAACAAGTGTGTGAAGTTTCAAACCATTCACTTCAGTAATTATGGGGATACCAGCTTACACGCAAAAACTTAACCAAGAATTTCTGATTCGAAAAAGTGGCATAATCATGCATCAAAGCAAATCAGAGTTATGGGACTTGTGTCAATCATGTTAGATTATCACAGAGTTCAAGTGTGTGAAGTTTCAGTCATCCTTTCAGTAGTTATGGAGATACCAGCTTACATGCGAAAACTTAACCAAGAATTTCTAAGTGGAAAAAGGGGCATTATCATGCAAAAAAGCAAACCAGAGTTATGGGACTTGTGCCAATCATGTTTGATTATCATTGAGAACAAGTATGCGAAGTTTCAATCCAATCCCTTCAGTAATTATAGAGAATACTTGCTTACATGCAAAAACTTAACGACAGGGACGCCAACGCCGACAAATGGCCGGATGACTGCATTGGCTTATCTGCGAATAGTCAAGCTAAAAAGGTAATTATATTTCATATTTAATTGTAATAATAGGTTTGGCTTAGTTAAATCAAACCTGTCTGCAGTTGCAACAATAGGCAGGTGACTTCTGAAGTTCTGAATTATTTATTTATTTATTTATTCATTCATTCATTCATTCATTTATTCATTCATTCATTCATTCATTCATTCATTCATTCATTCATTCATTTATTGATTTATTTATTTATTTATTTATTTATTTATCTGTCTATTAATCTTTTTTTTTTTCATTAAATTATTTCATTTATTAAATTATTGAATTGTAATTAAATCATTTTATTTATTTCTTATTAAATTATTCCAAAAATTATTCATTCAGAAAAAACATTTTTATAAAGTCATTTATATTTATTTATTATTTAATTATTTCATTTATTTAATTATCATTAATTGATTTTATTCAATTATTTATTATCAAATTATTCAGTAACAAAAATTATCATTTAGAATAGAAAATATTCAAAATTATTGATAAATACAGGAATTATTATCATGGAGTGGTATGAAAAAAATTGTTGAGTGGCAGATGCCATGAGTGAAATATAATATTTTTGAGTGGTATGAAAAAAATTGTTGAGTGGCAAAAGCCATGAGTAAAATAAGAAGATGACATAGTTCATCAATTTAAGATGAAGTAGAATAAATATTTTCATCATGAATTTTAAATAAGCATAAATACCTGTGTGAGTTTCTGCAACATGTTAAGTCAGGGAAAGCTGGTTTTGATGTCTCATTAACAAAATTTTTAACAGTCTAAGGTGGAGGTGTGACGTATCTAGGGTGATAGTTGATGACAATTAGACCTGCAGATGTAGTTACACGTGACATTGCTACACCAAGTTGACCAGGCCTAAACATATCTCTACAGTCAACTTCTGTTCTGAAATATATATAGTAACAAGTGTATGAAGCCACAGAAATACCAAAAATAATGATAACTAGAAATGTGTCATCATGCCACGGATGCCCCCGCATGCAGCCAAAATTTCAGATGGTGCATTAATTATTTTTTTCATTTTAAGTTCAAAGCCTTTAAAACTTTTCAATGTTAACACAAACCATTTTCATAAATGGTCAAGGCACTGAAATTATTCAGTCTTAACCTTTTAAAAATAGCATATTGCATATTTGTAGCAAAAATAATGGCTAAAAGTATGAGTGCTGAAACTGATAATTTTTCCCAACATTCAGGAAAGATAAGTTTGTCTAAAATCATTGAACCACGACCAAATTCAAACTTAAACTGCTTATTCCTAAGATGTATCTATATTATTTTCAAAGTGAAAGGGACATAACTCTGCCAAAAAATCATCAAACCATGACCAAATTCCAACTTGACCTGCCAATTCCTTTGACATATCCATATGTCAAATTTAAGTTGAATATGTAACACTGTTGGGTAGATAATGAACAGAAACTGTAAATTTCATATTATTTTCAAAGTGAAAGGGACATTACTCTGCCAAAAATCATTGAACCATGACCAAATTCGAACTTGGCCTAGGCATTCCAAAAACATATCCATATGTCAAATTTGAGTTGAATGTTTTGTACCATTGGGGAGATAATAAACAGAAACTGAAAATTTCATATTACTTTCAAAGTAAAAGGGGCATAACTCTGCCAAAAATCATTGAACCATGACCAAATTTGAACTTGACCTGCGCATTCATTTGACGCATCCATATGTCAAGTTTGTGTTGAATGTGTTGTACCTTAGGGGAGATAAGGAACAGAAACTGAAAATTTCATATTGTTTTCAAAGTAAAAGGGGCATAACTCTGCCAAAAATAATCGAACCATGACCAAATTCAAACATGACCTGTATTTTTTTCATGACATATCCATATGTCAAGTTTGAGTTGAATGTTTTGTACCATTGGGGAGATAATAAACAGAAACTGAAAATTTCATATTATTTTCAAAGTAAAAGGGGCAAAACTCTGCCAAAAATCATCGAACCATGACCAAATTTGAAATTAACCTGTATTTTCTCATGGCATATCAATATGTCAAGTTTGAGTTGAATGTGTTGTACTGTTGGGGAGATAATGAACGGAAACTGAAAATTTCATATTATTTTCAAAGTAAAAGGGGCATAACTCTGCCAAAAATCATTGAACCATGACCAACTTCGAGCTTGACCTGTATTTTTTCATGACATATCCATATGTCAAGTTTGAGTGGAATGTGTTGTACCGTTGGGGAGATATTGAACGGAAACTGAAATTTCATATTATTTTCAAAGTAAAAGGGGCATAAATCTGCCAAAAATCATCAAACCATGACCAAATTCCAACTTGACCTGCCAATTCCTTTGACATATCCATATGTCAAATTTAAGTTGAATATGTAACACTGTTGGGTATATAATGAACAGAAACTGTAAATTTCATATTATTTTCAAAGTGAAAGGGACATTACTCTGCCAAAAATCATTGAACCATGACCAAATTCGAACTTGGCCTAGGCATTCCAAAAACATATCCATATGTCAAATTTGAGTTGAATGTTTTGTACCATTGGGGAGATAATAAACAGAAACTGAAAATTTCATATTACTTTCAAAGTAAAAGGGGCATAACTCTGCCAAAAATCATTGAACCATGACCAAATTTGAACTTGACCTGCGCATTCCTTTGACGCATCCATATGTCAAGTTTGTGTTGAATGTGTTGTACCTTAGGGGAGATAAGGAACAGAAAGTGAAATATCATATTATTTTCAAAGTAAAAGGGGCATAACTCTGCCAAAAATCATCGAACCATGACCAAATTCGAACTTGACCTGTATTTTCTCATGACATATCCATATGTCAAATTTGAGTTGAATGTGTGCAACCGTTCTTAAGATAATGAACGAAAACTGATGATGACGGAATGACAGAATGACGGAAGGACGGAACAGGGTAACACTATATGCCCCGGCCATTACATGGCGGGGGCATAAAATCTCTTGTTTAGTGCTTATAAAACAAATCATATCACATATAGTTCTACAAACAGAATTAGAAATTCCATATAATTGTAGTTATTTGAACAAAGATTGGCTGTATATGGTCAGCTATGACTTGGTTTCTTTTTCTATACTAACCGGTTTAGTGTCATTCTTGTGCCTTATGTATGGTAAGTCCAAATGCAGGTTTTAGTGGATACTGCTATCTTACAGCTATATCAGTATTAAGCCTTGGACTGTAAACTGAAACATAGATATATCTAAAATGTAGTCAATCATATCAGAGCATCATTTATTAGTTATTTATGTAGTCTTTGGATATTTATTTATTATAATATAATATTTAATTAACAAAAATGTCAATTACACATATTTATACCTCTATTGGAAATGCATGAAAGTTTGTTATTATCTTGCTTTAGTACAGAAGTAAACAGTGGCTTATTCATGTTAATTTCAATATATAACTTATCATTTAGCATTTGCAGTTTAACTAACAGAAACAAAAGGGAAGTAATTTCCTCCTGGGCTTTATATTTCGTGACTTGCTGCATCAAGATACAAAGCATTTTGAGAGTCCTTATTATTTATTATGATTATATAACAACGTCATATAAATTTTCAAAATCTTGATGTAAGGTTAAAGGAACAAAACTCCTTCCTTACTGTTAAATATCATAATTTTCAGAAGGGAGACAAATGAACATAATATTATGTCAATAGAAATTTACCTGTAAATTTTACTTTTGGTATCCTTTTTGTCATGTTGGCTGTTGGAAAATGAACAGTTGGACCAGATCCATCATCAGGAATATCCTTTACATATCCCTGGAGACCGTTGACAAGTTTGTCTGATAAATTTCTCAATAAAATAACTGGGCAACCGACTTTCAGCCATAATACATGAGGAGCAGAAATTGTAGACATCTTTTTTGCCAGTCCCTGGTCTGTAGATTTAAATTCATACACATTTCCAGGAAATTCTAATAAACACTTTCTGTTATAGTCATCTGCAAGATCATTTTTGGCAAATAATTTCACAGTCCTTGAACCTGCTTGAACGTCTAGGTGCCTATTCAGTTTAGATATAAAGTTTTCAGATTCAAGGGATATTACACCATTACATACTTCATTAATTGCTGTAATGAACTGCTCCTCACTTTGTCTGACTATCTCAGTTAAAATGACTCTATGGGGGAATGTCTTCTTAAAATTATCAGACTCAAAACAATACTTTCCTTCATCCCCATATGATGGACTGGCAACTGGTGGTAACTGGAGGAAATCACCACAAAAAATTATTTGTATACCTCCAAAATCACGACTTGGGTCTTTAATTTTACAAACATTATTTACACTGTCAAAAACTTGTTGACTTATCATTGAGCATTCATCAACAATTATAGTGTCAACATTGTATATGTTTTTGAGTACATGCTTATGTTTTGGGTTGTTTTTTATAACATCTGTGATACGATCAGGGCCATAACGACCATCGGATATCCCAGTAAACTGATGAATAGTACAAGCGTTGACCCCTTTATAAACACTGCACGCAATTCCTGTTGAACATGTGATCTGTACATTTTTACCGATCTTCTTCAAGCTTTTGGCAATTTCATTGATAACAAATGATTTGCCGGTTCCTGCTGAACCTAATAGTAGAAGGTTATGTCCTTCTATCACAATGTCAACGGCTTTTTTCTGTCCAATATTCATCTTAAACAGTGTTAAACTGTTAGAATTTATTTAATACGACATGTGATGAAATCAGCTGTTGTTTACATCCGGTGTTTTGGTGTCTCGTTTCAGCTGTACAAGTCTATGGTGTACGGAACCAGCGCTACAGCCAATAAAACGACGCCTTAAAAAATTGTCACGTGACTAGCGAATGGTCGTTCTCGGAGAAAAATTAGAAAGTGAAAGAAAATAAACGTTTCATGGACGTATGTCGAATAAGTTACAGGTAATTATACATGCATGTTTTGCAAAAGAGTCTTTTTTATTGAATTCAAGCCTTGGCTTCCCGTGTTCGTTGTTGTAAATTGTTTATACGGGATAAATCACGTTGTTTACTATGTTGCGACTTCTCGGTGGACTAAGCAAGAAAGTCGTTTTCGGCTAGAATTGTGTTCGGCAGGTTACTATATGCATGGTAAAAGGGACAAATTGCTATTATTTATTGAAAGTACCATTAGTAAGCTACATGTACACGTAAAAAATATAAAATTTGCTTGAAAAATGGAAAAGAAATTCGCTTCTCATTGAGTTAAGGGCGCGAAAATTGTGTTTTTTTGGAGTTGGAACCCTTGTCTATATATAAGGATTGTCACCTGTTTTTTGGTCTGGACCTAGTTTTGGTCACAAATAACCCCAATGTAGAGTCCAGGCACCGTTACAACCCCTTTGGTTTTGGTCCGATGATTTTGACAGACTTATCCTTCTTAGATTAGAAAATTCAATTTTTTTAGGAATGTATGTCTGAGGTTGACATTGCATGCGCTTTTATTTACCAGAAAATAGAACTCAGATCTAATTTGGTCATGGTCAGATGTTTTTTACAGTTACCCAATTGAGCTTAAAAAGAAAAATAAAGATTCCAATTTCTAATCATTACATCGGTTGAACTATGTATGAAAATGGTTTGTGTTGATATTGAATAGTTTAAAGGCCTTGAACTAAGAATGAAAGAAATGGTTTGTGCAAACAAATTTAGAACTTTATATTATTATAACATTTGACATTTTGGCAACATGTCCTAATTCCTGTCACATAAATACTTGGTGGTTGAAAACTTGGCTTTTTGGTCGCATTGCGGCGCTGTTGTTATAAAGTAATTGACAATTGCCTTGGTTTCTGAACATTAGGCACCAATGCACTGTCTATCCATCCATCTGTTTGTTCATACTAGGTAAACCTAAAACGGCAAGCTGAATTTCTAGGGTAAACTCAGGTGTGTGTCGTACGTTAATATTTAACAATTAAGCTTCTTCTCTGGGACCACTGAACCAAGTTCAACCAATTTTGGCATAAAGTATCTATGGATAAAGGGAACCAAAAATTGTGAAAGTCATGGCCTCTGCCACTCTGGGGCATGAGGGATGGGCCTTTAACCATAAAAATAATATTTATGGTTTCCGGGCGATAACTAGAGTTTGGAATGAGATATTGTAATCAAGCTTGTTATTTTGCAAGCTTATATGAAGACCTGGGTCGGTCTGCATTCGGACCAACGGAGATCAACGTCACCGTTTTTTAAGAATGAAAAACATTTTTTTACGGACAATAACTAAGGTTACGAATAAGTCAAACTTGGTTTTTAGCAAGCTTATATAAATATCTTAAGATCTTCGTTGGGACTGCATTGGGACCCTCTTTGGGTCAAGGTCCAGGTCAATGTTACTGAAAATAAAAAGAAATTGTTTGCAGACAGTAACCAGAGTTAGGAATGAGATATTGTAATCAAACTCTGTATATAATATATATTAAAATTATATAATGTCCCCCGGTTTTTTTGTTGTTTGTTTTTTTTTTTTTTTTTTTTTTTTTTTTTTTGTTTTTTTTTTTTGTTTTTTTGCTTTATGATCCCCTTGGGTGTAGGTCACCGTTACTTAAAATAGAAAAAATAGCTTTCCGGACTATAACTAGCATAACTTTGTATTTAGCAAGCCTATTTGAACCCCTGGCTACTTTTGCTTTTGTACACCATGCCATCAAGGTTCACTGTTACTAAATATAGAAAAAATTGTTTCTGGAAAATAACATTAGTAAAGAAACATTTTACACAGTTGATACTTCATAGATGTTAGGTTGAGTTCAAATTTTGACAACTAAAATTTCAAAAAAGTCAAGGTTGTTGGAGGGGTATTACCTTTTATGATAGCTTCAGTTATAAAAGTAGGAACTCTTCAAACCTGAGGAATGCATGACCCTTATGATTTAAGGGTTCAGGCCCCATGGAGACGATATAAGTTTTACAATATATTATACATAGTTAATCAATGCTTTAAAGTAATTTAAGAAAAAACAAATATTTATAATCTGCTGTTGAATACTTTGGTGACCTTTAAGGCCCCTGTGTCAGTTGTTTGTTTTATTTAAGAATAGGTTTTGCTTTATAAACTTACCTTTTTGCAACTCAGCCGAACATCCACGTCGTGACCGAAATAATCTTGCGCATATGTGTTGTTTTTTAAGTAGCTAGCAATAGCTGCAATGTCGTAAGTACCACCAATTCGTTTCTTAGTGTAATATGGCATAAACGATTCCGCAATAATGTCAGGCGACTTTGAAAGCAAATTCGGATCAACTTTATTTAAATAATGGATAGTTGCATTATGTGCAATTAAATGTTCATATATTCTACCACAAACTCCATTAGGACATAGACGTCGTTTACCTTCTTTAATTCTGCAAAGACATCTGTGGTTCTGACATTTCGTTTCATGTGGAGTAAAATTATATTTTGTACATACATTGCAAGATTTCCCATAAGCCATCGGCAATATAATACGCTCAAAATGATTCTCTTTTGAAAAGTCCATGAAGTCTTTAAAAGCTTTTTGTGCAAGGCTGATAACAAATCCTGTTTTCAAATATATATCTGACATCTCTCTATTCACAAAAGTCTGCAATGTTAATTGTCTGAAAGAGAAATATGAATATTTTGATATTGCCATTAATTACAACACTTCACAAATTGTTAGTGTCACAAAAAGGTTTTGTTGCGACTATACAATTCATTTTAACAAAAAAAAACACATTACTTTAAACTCTCTTGACTGCGCCTTCGTTTATATACAAATATGACCTATACTGTGTCGATGTGACGTAAAACCCGAAACAAAACCAAAAAAAATATACAAATACATTATCAATATCAATGAAGGGTAAAGCTGATTTCAACAAAAGTACAAAGTTAATGTTTATTTTGTCCAAAGGAGCTTAGTTTTTTTAAATAAGACGGAATCGAAACTGGAGTTTCTTAATCATAATATTATCGGATTTTCGAATTGTGTGTCGCTTTGAAAAAGACGACATCGACATATAGGGGTTACTTTTGACGGCGGCGGCGTCCCTTTAGGCTTGTCCGGAGCATAACTCAGTCAGTATAAGTCGTATTGACTCCGAACTTGGTATACATGCTTCTTTCAATGACCTAAAATGCAGTGGAAAATCGTTACTACTCTGCACTCTTATTTGTTTGTTATTGACCATAATGTCCATACTTTATTTTTGTCCGGGCCATTTCTCCTAAACTATAAAAACTATTGACTTGAAACTTCATAGGATGATACATCTCATTGAGAAGAAGTGCAGTGCACAAAGCAGGTACTCTGTACTGCATGATTTTTGAGTTATTGCCCATTGTTGATTTTCGTCACCTTAGTCTTGTTCAGAGTATAACTTGGTCACTATAAGTCTGACTGACTCCAAACTTTGTATGCATGCTTCATTCAATGACCGAAAGTCTAGTGCACAATAATGGTTACTCTGCTCTTCTTATTTTTTTTTATTATTTCCCTTTGATAATTTTCATACTTAATAGGCTTAACTAAGTCAGTATGAGTCTGATTGACTCCAAACTTGGTATGCATGCTTTTTCAATGACCTGAAGAGCAGTGTACGAGAGTGGTTTCGGCACGAGATTGACCTTTCATTAGTTGTAACGGGCGTTTCAAACTACCATCATGCGATTTTCATTCAGTAATTTATCTATCTGAAATTAAACGATATCTTTAAAAAGAATTAAAATAAAGCCATTTTGTTTTATATTCTATTGTCTATTTCGATGAGCACAATTTACCAACAAGGTTAATATGTTGGATTTTCTCAGCTGTACGTAAGATCTCAGAAGTCTACTTAGTTTAAGAAGTCAACAACGCTCGCACAGCAAAATCTCAATCATCACTAGAGGAAATTACAAAACTTAAAAAATGGTCCAAACGGACTTGTTTGTTAGTTTCTAAAAGTAGGTAGGTAGGTAGGCAGGCAGGCAGGCAGGTAGGTAGGTAACAAACGCTAAGAGTTAGAAATGGTCACGACGTGTTATACTGATGTATATGTGCTGTTGCGACGCAAACCAAACAAAAAATAATAAGCACTTATAATCGCGAAACATTTGATTGAGGGCAACCTTGCAAAAATGCATCGGTTTGCGTTTTTCAATATTTTTATTGGTCATTTTCCATTATAAAAATAATTATTCTAGAGGACAATACGGGGTGATGGAAATCTTAAAATTGCAACACAAGTTGTTAGACAGGACCTACAATATTTCAAGTTCATTCATGTCAATAAGCCTCAGTGGGGTTTGTTAAACTATAAATATGTTTCCAAAATTAGAATTTCGAAAGTACATTTTATACATTTTAATAATTTTTTGTTTGATCAACAATTCAGATTTAAAAAATGCCGTTAAAAACCATGCACATAATTCGAAGTGTTAATAAATGTTACAATTTCTTTTTCCAACTTTAATGTTTAAGACAGACAATTCAATAATTAAATGTAAATTTGCAATTTGCATTCTTTTTAAGTTAGCGCTTTTCGCGGTGGATAAAATTCCGCATTTGTTTGTATCCGCGAAAAAAATTGCATGTAACAAATCCGCGAACATAGTAGCTTCACCTACTTCGATTTTCATTATTTCATTATGAAGTACTATGACGTAGTATGCATTACTTTTATCTATGCTTAATGAAAACTGATATACATTTCAAGGTAAACAAACGTTCGTATACATTATTAATAGATTAGAAAAAATCATATAATACATGTTATTTACAGTTTGCATACTTTAAATGAAGGTTATTGTACTCGATAAAAGGGAAGGTGTAATTGTTTGTTACAAGTACAATAGCAAATAATACCTATGTGGATAAA